GAGAACAGACCATCCTGAGAACAGACCATCCTGAGAACAGACCCCCCAGAGAACAGACTCTCTGAGAACAGACCCCTCTGAGAACAGACCATCCTGAGAACAGACCATCCTGAGAACAGACCCCCCAGAGAACAGACTCTCTGAGAACAGACCCCTCTGAGAACAGACCCTCTGAGAACAGACCCCTCTGAGAACAGACCCCCCAGAGAACAGACTCTCTGAGAACAGACCCCTCTGAAAACAGACCCTCTGAGAACAGACCCCTCTGAGAACAAACCCCCCTGAGAACAGACCATCCTGAGAACAGACCATCCTGAGAACAGACCCCCCTGAGAACAGACTCTCTGAGAACAGGCTCTCTGAGAACAGACCCCTCTGAGAACAGACCCCTCTGAGAACAGACCCTCTGAGAACAGACCCCTCTGAGAACAGACCCTCTGAGAACAGATCCCTCTGAGAACAAACCCCCCTGAGAACAGACCATCCTGAGAACAGACCCCTCTGAGAATAGACCCTCTGAGAATAGACCCTCTGAGAACAGACCCTCTGATAACAGACCCCCTGAGAACAGACCATCCTGAGAACAGACCATCCTGAGAACAGACCCCCCTGAGAACAGACCCTTCTGACGTACCTCCTCCCCCACCAGCTGCTGGGCCGGACCTCCGGCTGGGTTCTGTGGAGAGACGAGACCTGTTAGGGATCAGGTGGGATCAGGTGGGCTCCAGGACTCGGAGCTCAGAACCTCACCGATGCGTCTCCGTGGATGTTGAGCGTGGGCACGGCGTCTGGACGGAGCGTGACCTTGTCCCCGATGCGGTCGAAGCAGTCCTCGCTGAAATGGGACGAACAAATGGAGGACCAGAGGCGAGGGTGCCAGTGGACCCGACCCACCGCCATCATCCACTGAGCCAGAACCGGCAGGTTGTGGAGAGGAAACCTGCAGGAAGCAAAGACTTGTAAAGTAGGGCTGGGTATCCACTCAGATCTCCCAAAACTATTCAAGTTTGACTGATTTTTCATTGAGTTAATGATATCAGCAGTAAGAAATTTACTCTGATTTAGAAGACATGTTCAAAGGAAGTCCTTCTGTAAATACAAACTAATTCTAACTTGGTTTGTTGGTAAAATTATAAACATTAAGGACAAACTTATAAATTGGAGTTTAATCTTGAAACAAAACAAGTTTTAAAGGTTTAAACTAAACAGGAATTGACAGAAAGTGTTGTTGATACATTAGTTCTTTAAGAAACTGAGAATAATTTCCTTAACCACTAAGAAGTGATGGAATAAGGTTAGAGGAGAAGAGGTGGGATAATAAGTGTTTACTTCTGAGTGAAAACTTTATATTTGTAATATTTCTGTTACTTTCTGTTCAATAAAACTTATTAACAAGAAGAAAGAAAAAAAGAGAACTTCAGCTAAAATATTCAATCACTTCTAAAATTTATAAGTATTTGAAACAAAACTAAATGTTTTAGACTGTCATCTTTCACACATTTACAGG